AGTACTTGGATCATAGTAGCTTGTAGTTCACTAGTTCCCTTCCCTTTCGATCTCTCAGATGAAGTTGGGCTTTCTAAGACCACTTGTCCTGATGGGGAAGAAGGATCTCCTGATTGATCTGCCATTCGTAGTAGAAAAGGGTGAGAGAAACCCTCTGTTGGGCAAGATCACAAAGTGTATTGTCCCACCGGGCGTGCCAAAATTATGTTTACGTCAGGAATTTCTGTCGGGGACGTTTCCTGGCCGACGAGCACACAGCTCCCCAGGAGGTTGGCGCCGGTTGAAGGCCGCTGTCGGGCTTCTGCTTTTTTGTCGGGCATCGTCGGGCAAGGCTTGTCAGGCAAGGCTGAAAGAGAAGGACAGAGTTAACTTTGAGAGGTGCCTTTGTGGGGCCTTAAGTGTAGGCCTTGAGGCTTACAATCAAGGTTAACTTTTAAGTACTCAGGCGTGCCACTGCCATCTTTAGCATGGCAGATGTGAAATGGATGTCGAGTTTTAGTTGTATATATGTATATACCCGAGAAACCGTGTTAGTTATGATAGGTGCCTTTGTGGGGCCTTAGGTGTAGGCCTTGAGGCTTCCTATCAATAACTAAACCAGTGCTCGAACACATCATATTTGTGCTCGTAAGTGCAAGAGTCTTTATAACTATTATACTTCTGATTACCCGAGTCCAAGAGGTAGAATGAACCCAAATAGGTGCCTTTGTAGGGCCTTAGATGTAGGCCTTGAGGCTTCCCATCAGAGTTCGTTCTTATACTCAAACGTTCTAGACCGCAGAACGGGATGAATCCAAATAGGTGCCTTCGTGGGGCCTTAGGTGTAGGCCTTGAGGCTTCCCATCAGAATCCATTCCATGCTTACGCGTTCTATGATAATCATAATATAATAGACATAAGACTAAGAGGTAGGTCGATTACTTGCGCCTCAAGTAACTTCGGACTTCTCGTTTATCAAGGATTGTCGTGGATGGGTTAAGTCCACATAAGGTTCTTTTTTATGCCTTGAGGCCAAGGACTTTTAACTGATCAAATTTACATGCCCGAGGGCTTAGAACTTAGATCTGGTTTGAACAATGAATATATATTCAAATCGGATCCGAGTACTAAGAAAGCCTTTTAATAGTCATCTTGCTAGAAATAACTGGAATATAACTGGAAGTATACAACATATTGCTAGGCTAATGAATGAAAAGACAAAAACACAAAGAAGGTCGGGCAAGGTTTAACCTTGTCGGGCAAGCCTGGTCGTCTTGCAGGTTCCTATCTTTGTGGCTTATTAAGGGTCTGAGAGATTTTTAGGGAGAGGTAAGGAGAGGAGTTTTAAAGAGAAATCGATACTACAGCAAGGTTGAACAGGGTAGCAGAGCTATTACAAGGGTTTGAGTGAAGGCTTATCCCGAGAGGGATAAAGGCTGGGGCTGACTACAGCTTCGATCTGAAGGCAAATCTGGCTTTGAGCAGAGTTTGTGCTTGCATTTGTTTGTTTGTTTGAGTGTCCTTAATCCTGATTTCTCTTTCTTCTTTTATAGACAACTCAGCTTGGCCTCTTGTAGCAGTAGCCTTGCCCGAATGCAACTTGAGAGGTAGTGACTCATCAGCTATATTACTTGTTCTGCCATTATAAAGTACTTTATGGGCTATATAGCTGGTCAGTCTATACCACTTGGCTTTTGGGTAGGTGAGCAAGTGGTCTTCATGAGCTGCACCAAGTTAGAAAAGCCCCTTTTTCTGCTTTCTGGGCTTTGGCTGGGCTTAGGCCGACTCTCCCTTAGGCATCCCTTTGGGCCAGCCCCTTTCCTGAGCCCAAAATTCAAGTTTTGATCCAAACAGTCAGGTTTTAGGGTTTTTGTTTTCACGAATTCATATCCCTGCGTCGCGACTCATGATGGAGGTCTGAGACCTGCGTTGCACAGACCACGCGTTGCGCCTCACCAACGACGAACGACCAAGAGATTCCGGCCAATAGGGTGAAGGTTCCGGTGAATAGCTTTAAGCCTCGAATCTCTGAGTGCTTGATTGGGGACAAAACTGGGCCATTCTCTTCATTGCAGAACGATCAAGGTAATGGGTCTGTCTCTTACTATTTTGTTTGGTTCCTTGGAAAATGGAGGAAATGATGGGAAAGTTGATTTATGTGTTTTGTTTGTTGGGTTGTGAGAAATTGAGTTTATCTATATAATTGGTATGATTCATTTGTGTACTGTGTGTATATATTAACCTAATTGAGCTCGAGCTCATAGCTTGGTAATTAATCTGAACACTCTTCTGTTTATGTTCTAATATGCCCATGAGGATTGATTTGTGAACTGAATTTGTTGTGATGTGGGTTTTCTCCGATTTGGGATATTTCAGTCATACTGTTTTTTTCTTTCCTGCTCTGTCCTTTGGTAGCTTCCATCACTCTCTCTCTCAAATGTTGCATTGAGGAAGAACACGCACTCAGTCTTTCAGATTTGAAAAACCCCAAACCTAGAAATACCTAACCTTCAAGGACGATCTGGTAAGATTTTTCTCTGCTCCTCTCTCTCAGCTTTTCTGTGTTTTTCTTGGTTTTGGGGGGTTTGTTCAAGTTCTCGAGGGATCTGAAGTTTTTGGGTTCTTGATTGAATGTGGGGCTTAATGGTTTTTTGGTGGGTAATGCATTTTTTATGAGGGTAATTCTTGGTGGGTTTTGTGTTTACAGTAGTGAATTTTGGGTGATTAGGTTAGTGGGGTTTGTATTTGGGTTTGGGCATGATGGGTTTTGTTCTTGATGATTGGTTGTTGGTTATGAACTTGGAATCTTGGATTTTGTTTTCTTATTTGATTATGAACTTGGAATCTTGTATCTGTACTGCTACTTGCAGATTTTTAAGTCCTGTAAATACATGTTTTCACAATTTGTTAAATGCATTCTCCACATCATCTGTTAACTCTCAGTTCCCATGCATTGACAACTCTCGAATGCTAGAATAATGGAAACAGTATTGATTACTATCAGGTTCTTAATCCTCTGCTATCTACCTTTACCTTTCCCCTGAATTAGTAAGAGACATTGACTATCTAACTTATACAATCTTGCTGAGCTAACTCTTACTAGTAATGTGTTCTGAGAATCATACCTTCTGCTTTCTCTAATATAATCTTCAAAAATTCCCAACTAATTACATGTAAGCTAGTAACGATCAAGTTGAAGACAAAGTTGAAGAAGTTAGAACTCTCTGGTAACGATCACAGATTTCATTCGATGAGTGCTCTGGAAATTTTGAGAGAAACTGTTAGAATTCTCTGGTACAATTCGTGGGGTTTTTTGGCGATTGCCTTGTTACTAATCTGCCCAGTTTCCGCCCTACTTTTGTCGAATTTGGTAGTTGATCAGTCACTTGTAAAGAGACTAACCATTAGGATGTTGTTAATTGCAAAGTCCAGTGTACTCCCTTTGAGGGATTTTATCAGTCACTCTTGCCAGAAGTTTGCTGAGATGGCTATTTCGTGTACGATGTGCTTCCCCTTGTACATCACATTGTCTTTGTTGTCAAAAGCTGCAGTGGTTTACTCTATGTATTGTAGTTATTCCCTCAAGAAGTTTGATGCATCACAGTTTTACTTGGTTATATGCAAGATATGGAGGCGGGTTGTTTCAACTTATGTGTGGTTGCTGGTTGCGTCGTCTTGTTTTTGGTTCTTCTTCTTGTTGTGTGCAATGCATGTTCGATGGTAGGGTTGTCGCCAAATTATATTGTGTATGCTGCATTGGTGGTTGCGCTTGCCTGCTCGGTTGTTTTTGCCAATGCTGTTATTATTTGCAACATTGCTATTGTTATTAATGCTGAAATGTAATATGATGTCCTTGCATTTCTTACCATGAAAATTACTTGGTTGGCTTATATTGATGACAACTAATTGAAACGTAGTCTGGTTGAGCGGTGCCTGAACTCTTCTTTAGGCCATTTTTACTTCTGTAAAAGATACTGGAACACTGGAGTAACATGACAGTCATTTCTCACAGGAAAAGCTACTATAAAGAGGGAGATTATCTTTATCCAAAGTTTGATGCATTTGAGGCCTATAGAAGAGCTCTGAGGACATGGGCAAACTGGATTGATCATAATATTAATCCATCAAAGCAGTTGGTCTTCTATCGTGGAGATTATCTTTTTTGGTTTTCTAGAATGTTTTAATGTAATATTTATTATCTAAGACTTGAAGTTTAATTTGATTATCGAGCATATATGTGGTGTATTAGCACATGGATATCAAAATAGTATGTTTAAGGTTTAATTTCATATGTTTTGTATATCTTAAAACAAATACATAATTGAAAAAAAAAAAAAAAAAACTGTTTTCAAGAGTTAAACCAAACAAGTTTTCAAATTTTTAGATTCAAAAATAATTTTTAAGTTCAATGCCAAACAAGTTTTCGAAACCATAGTTTTAAGAACAATTCAAGTTTTTGAGTAGGATACCAAACAGGCCCTTAGCCTTCCCTCTCGCAGCCGAATCCCGTTCGGATTTGAAGAAAATTTTGAAACCCAGAAAAACCATGGGTTTCCTGGTGAGTTCTTCGATTTTAGGAAAGATTGATGGGTTTGGTTCCTGGGTTCTCTTTTATTTGTTGGAATTTTTTATGATTTTAATTCTTGAAATCTGGGTTTTGTTTGTTGATTGGGATAAATTGTGATCGGGGAAGCCCCTCTGCGTTTCTCGCTTCTCATCTCTCAGATCACTTCTTTCTCTTCCATCCCTCCCACTGTCTCCGACTCTTGACCTTTTGCATGTGTATTTTACTGTGGAAAAGTTTGAACTTGAATGAATATTTTTAGTTATTTCTGGCAATATTGCATAATGGTTTGAATGTTTGCTTGATTTTGCACTTCCATTTTATACTTTTGTTCGCTTTCTGGCTGGTTGGTGCTGTTTTGTCATTTATTTATACCTGTATACATATCTTTGCTTTTAAAGTATGTTATGCATGTTTATGCATGTTAAACACAAGTTTTGGTTTTTTTGTTCCGTAATTAGCTATGTATTTGCCTTAATCTGCATGTGTGTAGTGTAGATAATCTTAACCAACATTATAGAATCCATGTTCTGTTGAAAATTTTGAATGTTCTGAGATGGAAAAGGTTATGATAAATTGGAAGGTAGAAATTCTATTATGAGTTCTCCAGTTGATTTGGGACGGGTAATATAAACTTTTATGTAAAGTTGATTTGTTATTTATTTATTTTTTGGATGCTTAATTTCATCCGGAAACAAATAGTGTTTATCATCACCAAGTGTTACAAAGAGTATTTTAAAGTGTTTTTTAACCAATCTATTATCAAGTTTTTTGGCGGGTTTCTTATTTCATTTTCCGTTGTTTTGCAAGAAACCAGAGCCTTTCCATGCTCAAGAGTTCCACAGGTATGTCACCGCTTTTTTACATATTTCTGCTTTGATTTCCAATACGAGGTTAAAGCCTTTGATTTCCAACGAATTTTAGTTAGGTAATTTGATTTCCCTCAAAAGACATAAATTATGTGTTTTCTTTAATCATTTTGTTATAATATTCAACCCATTTCAATTTATTACCAACCAAATCCTAATTTGTTCAATTTCTTTTCATCTGGCGATTGAGTGTGGTTGTTTGCCGTTCTCTTTGAGGTGAGATAAAGTTTATATCTGTAAATATATGTATCTTAACAACAACCATGGGGGTTGCTAATGACCTTTTTATTCACTAAATTTTTTGTTTTTTTCAAGTGCTTCTCAAGAATTTAATCCTTTTTGTCATTATTTATATTGCAGAAATTACAAGCTATGCTACAATCCCTATTAGTGTTTTAAGTTGTTAACTTACTATTTAAACTTCAATTTTCAAGCCCCATTACGAAAATTTGCTAGGCTTTTCAGGGTGGACTGTGCATCAAATATATATATCTTTGTGTCTATTTACTTACCCTTTTCGAACTTTATACTTCTTCGAGTGAAATGGTAATTTAATTTCTTAAGCTTACCGTTTATCGCTGTAAAAGATGGCCTATTTTCTGAGCATTATAATGTCTACGTTTACACATTATCCAACTTGCTTCCAGGAAAATTAAGATTATTAGATGCATGTATAGAATTTTGTTTAAGGGGAGAAAGGATTTTGAATTTGAGTCTTTATTTGATTCTTCTCAAATATGTATAATTCAAGGAAAGAACATGTATGCTTCTTAGGTGGATTTGATTCAAATTGGTGGATTTCGGTAAGAAAGAAACTTTAATTTTTTCTTTCGGTGGTTTTAAGAACTGAAATGACATGCAAGAGATTGAAGAATTTTTGGTTTATCGTACTGGGATGAGAGGGTATTGTCAGAACAATTTTTTAGCATGACAGTATTAAATAATCAATTTGATAAATTAAAATGGTGTGATTGAATAAGATTATCTGTTTGGTTAACCTATATATGCTTAATAAATTGTTTAATAAATTTTCAATCTTTGTGTATTTGAGATTGCCTCTTTTTTATTTCCTTTTATTTTCTTTTTTTTTAAATTTAAATTTTATTTGTGTATGTATGGTCAAGGAAAATTCTTGTACCCTAATCATTTGACTTACTTTTATTTCCAGTTTTAAAAGTTTTTCCTGTAATTTTATGTAATAAAAGTATTGTTTTGTTGCAAAAAGCAGGGCCACTCTATTTAGGGCTTGAAGATTTCTACATTCGTTTATCATCGACTTCAAGTATTTCATTCCATTGACGACTTAAAGTAAACTGCAACAACACAGTTTGGTTATGATTGGGAAAAATTGGTTGATTATCTGCATATTTCATGAGGATATAAATAGGGACTATCTATCAAACTTTTGCCTGTAAATGGTATGTATATACACATCAAATATTATTTTTTGTATGTAAGCAAAATTACATACAAAAAATATTTGTACGGTTAAAGGACAGTTAGGAGTTCAATTTGTAAAAGATGCAAATATTAGAACAATGGCAATAGAACCACCAATCCATATGGTTGTAAATAGATTCCTACATATAAATAGTATTGCATATTGTATGTATTTAGAACTTTCTACATATTTTATACAATTTTAAAACTCGTAGCATCGCATGGACACCGTTGCTAGTATATACTAAAACTGTTGGGGAAATCACTGTAGAGCTACAATGGATTTTTTATTTTACCCCCCTCCCCTCCCCCCCCCCGGCGGGCGGTTTTTTCGGTTTTTTCAACTTTGCCATTTTGTCATGTTGTTAGGTGCAACAGCATTCCTACACACGTGGGATCCCGTTCCATTGACACTTCCTACCTACTCCCCTTTCTCACTATTTCTCACCGCTTCATGCCGCTTTATCTCCTTAGTCGCTCATAATCATCGCAAACAACCTCAAACCAATAAATCCATTTTCGCAATTTCTCTCAGAATCGTTGTTTCTCTCTCGCTGACCGCTTCATCGTCAACCAATCTCAACCACAGCCGCACTACAAACCCATCTGGACGGAAAACCCATGAAGAAATCTTGGTTGTCGGCCAACAATTGGACTGCAATGTCATCTTGACACACCCCAGGTGATGTACTGGAGTTTTTATTTGGCATTTGATTGAAGTTTTCTTTGCTTAAAATAAGAAAACAAACCCAAACCATCAAGCTAACATATAAAATTCTACAAATTCTCTCACATTTAATCGAATCGATCTTAAGTGTTAAGGTTTTAGGGTTTCGGTCTTCAATTTCCAGCGAATTGTTTCCGTCTGAGCATCGGTGACAAAATATGTTGTTTGGTTGTCGAGAAAATATGTAAAAAATGATATTCTTCTCAACATATTTAGATAATTTCATTGGATAAGTTCGTCCATGCATCTTAAATTTTATCTTTGACTAGTATATGTTTTCATAATTAGATTATATCAAGCTTCATTCATGTCCACTTCCATTCCTAAGAGCCTGTCTTCTGTCAATGGCAACAATGGAGGCTAGGCCTGAAGCCAAACCAAAACCAAAAGAAATTGAAGAGAGTTATGAACCTCTTCTCAAATACAAGGTAATTAAAACTAAATATTTTTTTTTATGAACACTAATCAGCTTCTTTGCCCTTAGGTCCATTGTTCTTCATTTTGCATGTCTTTCGAAGGATATTTAAGGATAGGGATTTAATACTCCTCAATTTGGGAGACAAGGAAGCCGTTGGTGATGGAGAAGGTTGCTCCACCTAAGGCCATGGAAATAAGGGTAAAGGTCAAATATACCTCAGTTTATCACACTAAAATACCAAATTGTCACATCTCGGTCCAGGTCCCCACATCCCGGGCTCGACTCCGCCATAGCACTATATTGTCATCTTTGGGCCCCGACCATGCCATCACGGTTTTGTTTCTGGTAACTCACACGAGAACTTCCCAGTGAGTCACCATCATGGGATTCCTCTTGTGTGAACTCGCTTAACTTCGGAGTTCCGATAGAACCTGAAGCCGTTGAGCTCCTAAAAAGTCTCGTGCTAGATAGAGATGAGATATACATATAAGGTTTACAAGATCCTTAGCCCTGGGCGATGTGGGATCTTACATTTACTTCGAGTGAATACATTGTTGTTCATTCTGGCCGTCTTTCCAAAATCAAGCCCCTTGCTCAGTTGGACAAAGTTTGCATCCTCAGTTGAGCCATACCAACAAGTTTGGTGTCCTGCTCAATGCTTTAAAGCGTTGAATATGCATCCTAAATTGATACTACATATTGAATCGTTTGCACTATACTAAATATTTTGTTTTTTAATATTAGGTTTAAGCGCCCCTCTCAATGTAGCAAAACAAAAAATTATCCTTGGTTGCTGTTTATTAGCCTCGCTGTAAGTTTGGACAAACTTTGTTGATCCCAAATTCTTTGTTCTAATAAATTGCATTTATTTTCTTTTCTGAATACTGATACATGCATGATCTAGGCTACTGAAGGTGCAAGAATGTTTGGGGCACCAATGAGTATTGGGGTGGAGTCGGTGGACTTGAAGCCCAAGAGGTTTGACGAAGGTATTTTGTTTTTTTTTGTTTTTTTGTTTTTTTTTTGTTACGTTTGGATTTGGTTTAACATGTAGTTTAGTGGGAAAACATAGAAACATATTTTTGCTTAAACATTCTTTCCCTGGTCATAACTAAGAAATTCAGAGTAAAAGAATTTGTGAATTCGAGTGACAATGACAAACCAGTGCACGAGATGGAAAATGATTTGCTATTCTTATTATGTGTTGGACATGAATCAACATAGATAGTTAAGTTGTAACTTTAACTTATATTTTTATTTTCTTCTGCTTCTCATCTACCCAAGTCTACAATGTACATGCAGCTAAGGAAAACACCGATACATCAACCAATGTAGAAGATCCTGATAAGACTAATTGTAGATAGCACTACAAATGAGCACTACAAATTTAAGCTTGATGTTGGTATGTGATTTCCATTCCATCTCATCTTTTTTTTTTTTTTTTTTTTTTTTTTTTTAATGTTAGTTTAATTTTCAAACCTTTTGTACATATCAAGTAATTCTCCATATAATTGAATAATGGCCCTATTTTTTGTTTCTCTTTTTCGCTCCTCCATCAATTCATTGGTTAAATCGATTGAAAAATTTAGAGTTTGTTTGATACTCTACTTGAATATAGCTTTTTAAACTCAAAAACAATTTTCAAGTATTAGGCCTTAAAAACTTGTTTGGTAGGACTATTTTCAAAACTGAACTCAAGACTAACTCAAAAATATAGTTTATTATCTAAAACACAAAAAAAATAAGTTTTCAGAGTTTTTAAACTTAAAACTCACTCCTTTCTTTTCTCTCCTTCCTCCCCTCTCACTCCAAATCTCTCTGTCTCTCCATCTTCTCTTTTTTTTTTTTTTTTTTTTTTTTTACCTTTTTCATCTCTCCTTCAATCCACTATCTTCATTCTTTCAATTCTTTCTCTCACTCCTCTTCCACTCTATCTCCTCAGATCCTCTCACTTCTTTCTCTTTCCTCAAATCATCTCTTACTTTATTTCCTCTTCTCTCCTCTTTCTCTCTTGACCTCGTCTTTTTTGATCTTTTTGTCCAGTTTAAGTTATAAGATTTAAATTTTTTAAATCGCATACCAAACAAGTTTTTGAGTCTTAATTAAAACTATTTTCAAGCAAAATTCTTAAGAAATATTTTGAGAAATTATAAAAAAATTCAAATAGAATACCAAACAAGTCATTAGTTTTTATATTGAATTCTTACCGATTCCAATGCTTAATATATAGCAAGAGAAAAATTATGGACAAAGCAAAAAAGAACATGGTGACCAAGAAAAAGATAGTCATTCCCAAACAAGCAAAGGCTAAAAGATTGACCAGGAAAAATCATAAACACAAAGTAGATGTGCAGTACCAAGCTTCTGATATGGACATATGTATATTTTCGTATTTGAACGATTTTGATACTATGAACTTCTGTACATGTATATAGCTTTCATAGTGAGCAATTGGACACTGCCAATCTTTTTTATAACTATGAACACTGCCAATCTCTACCTTAGGTATATAAATATAGCTTCAATAAATTCTGTTTTCTGTGTACATATTATCAAAACATTTTGAACACCCGCAACATCGCGCAAGCACTTTTGCTAATCATTTCTAATATGTGTATTTTGAGGATGGGGGTGGGTATTTGGTTCTCCTATCCCCCAAGATGGATTCTCCGCGGGCGAGTGCACGATAAACACGGGTTTTACGGTCCAGATTGGCGCGCCATTCGAATCCAATGGTTGTAGCGCCTCATGAGTTATGTTCTAGTGTGGCCCGCCAGCTGTATCCTTTTTAATTCAATGGCTCAAATTCAATTTAATCAATTTTAACTGTAATAAAAATATCAAACGGCTAAAATTTAAATCTAACTGTCAAAATAACATTATTTATTAACCAAATCATATCCAACACCAAAACTAGTCCAAAACTCTATAAATACACATCCATGTGTTCATTGATCCATTAAAATTTCAATTTTCTCAACAATTTTTTTTCTTCAGAATTTGAATTTTTTCACATGAAAATGTTTGCAAAAATAAAACAACATAGATTATATAAAAACTAATTCCAAAATTATTAACAAAAAAATCAACTAAATACAAAAGTTTAACAAATTATAAAGTTGGGGGTGGAAATTATAGATCTCTTACTGTTCGAGGAAAAAAAATTACCTTACCTCATACGTATAGGTGAAGTAATTGAAAATATGGGGCTAAAATTTGAGAGCACACCCTTGGATTGGAGATATTCTAACAACTAACTATTTAACTAAAAATACATTATTTAGTTAAAAAAAGTGAAGTAACTAAAATAAATAGGAGTATATTGGAGAAAAACATGTGTAGAAATTATTTTTCTACTGGTTTTGATCATTTGACATAACTCTAATAAATAGTAGTGTGGTACCACTTATTCCACGCTATGAACTCACAACCTCAAGACACCCATGCGCAAATGTACTAATCAATGTCATTATGCGCATTAAAAGTCCAATAGTCCTAAAGGGCATACAGATGAACATACTCATGCAACCGGTGCAAGAAAGTTCTTCTCGTTCTTTGGGGGCGTCAAGGATAAGCTAACCGAAGCTAGCCCCAAACAGAAACCTCTAGGATAACATGTCTCTTAGTGTTGCATCGATATTATCTTCCGCTTAACCGCACAAGTTGAAAGCGACACAAATTGTCTGGATAAAACCTTAGACAGAATCTCACTTGATGTACCAAAAAACAAATGCATTTATTTTACAAGATCCATAACATAAAATTAGGTCAAACTCAAGTACTTTTGGTCAAGTGTCGAACTCACTGTTGCTGGCAGTAGCAATGCTAATATTGGTTTAGGTGTTCACAGCACAGATGTAGGCCAGCAACGTTTGGTTTGGGATGAAAGGATTCTTCGCCATCCAAATGGAAGTAGATATTTTTGGGGTAAATTACACTTTACCACCTCAGGTTAGAAATATATTACAACCTTATACAACATATTTAAAACATTTCACTTTCATAATACTATTATTCCCCTTTGATA